CTGGGGCCAGAGAGATTTCTCTGTGGGTCTGATGCTGGGGGTTTTGCAACCAGCTGGGAGCCTGTGTCCATCCCAAGATCCTTGTCCGCCCGCCCCCCCCAACAATTCCTCCGCCCAGGAAAGAGCTGGAGGGCCTGTTAGGGGGGTGGCACATTTCAGTATTGACTGCGAAAGTTTTTTACCCTACCCTCCTCCTTTCTTTCCTTTTCCGGCCAGGGGGAAGAACGATACAATAGCGAGGAAGGTGTATATCAAAGCGAGATGGGTTTAAAGCCCCCCCTTCCCCCTGACAGATGAGGGTCTGGAAAAAATAGGGGTGGGGGAGAGAGAAAAGTGGAGGAGAGAGGAGGAGGAGAAGAAAAGAGGAGGGGGAAAAAAACTACCGGCTGCAGGGAAGCAATATTAACATTACAAGGGAGTAAGGGAGCGTCCGAACCCTCGTGTCCTTTGTTCACCTTTCTCGTAGAGCACCAGCATAACAGAGACTCTGAAGGCCGCGGCTGCTACCCTAAGCACGGCCGGCGCAAGCCCAAGCCGGCGGCGTTTTCCTCCGAGCAGCGAGAGCCGCTGCGGGTCCCTCGGCAGGAGCGGGTCCCGCGGAGATCAAGGCGGCTGACCGCCCCCTAAGCAGGCCGCGTGTGGCAACCCAAGAGAACCGAGCGTTGACACCACGCACCAAAGTGGGCCTTCTCTTTTCCACCGGGGAGGGTGGCGGAGCCCCTTCTTCGCCCGGGTCAGTTCCACGGCCTATAAAAATCATACTCGGGTTGCTGTTCTTCTTTCCGCATTGCAAACGGAGGCCCCGTCAGCGCATCAGGGAGAGGATCACCGAAGAGGTTAATCCTATATAACTGAATGCAAACCTATTCAGACTCTGTTCATAACCAGACGAAAATGAAGAAAATGAAAATTTAAGAGTAAATTAGCAACTATTAGGAGTTGGAGTAAGTCCAACGCCAGAGGAAGCCCAACTGAGATCAGTGGGCCTTACTTCGGTGTAACGGGGCGGTCTATAGCTGTAAGCGCATGAATGAGAGGCTACAGCCTTGTACCCGCGGAGATGGGAAGGAAACGCGTCGAAATCAGTGGGACGCTTTTGAACACACAGGCACAAGACGGCATTTTTAATCTCTCCGTGTTACTAACCTCTTTGATCCTACTGCCCACAATGAGATCGCGTGAACAGAAGTCCATGAAGAGAGGGTGACCCAATTATTCTACGCTGGGTCTTTCTCCCGCCCGCCCCCCAAAAATAAGGCGTACGTTATTTGACGGCGCTTTTAGTCTCTAGTTTAATGTAATCACAGCCTTTCTGATCACTTGTCCTCTTGTCACCATTCCAATTCGGACGGACTACACCTCCCAGAGTCCTCTGCTGCAGTCTTTCTGAGGGATGACAGAAGCTGTAACCCCAAAGGTCGCTTTGCCTGAGCGCTGCTCCCCTGAATGGGTCCCGGGTCAACAGAGAAGGTAGAACAAGGTCTCTTCTTCCCCATAGGCATGAAGAGGAAAAGGAAGATCCGGATCAGATCTTGCTGGACCCGCGGGAGGCCGGACTCCTGACTTCTGCGGGAGTCGGCCCTCCCGCGGGTTGGCATGCGAAGATTCCCACTCGCAGCCTCGGCGTGTGGGTGCAGCGGATCGCCTGCCCTCCCAGGCAGTCTTGGTCGGACCTTTCTTATTCGCCGTTGGCGGGGTTGAAGGCAAGCCAGAGGCGCGCTGGCCGTCGAAATGCGATGGGAGCATAAAGGTATGCGCCCAGTGAGTCAGAAACCAATGCCCAGTCAACCACACACCGGGCGATGATTTATAGGACTGTAATTGGTTATAAAAATCATTCAAGTGGCCGTAACCAGGCCTGGGGCCGCGGCGGGGAAAGCCATCGTTTCCACTACGGAGGAAGGCCATTCTCAGCTCTTCAAGAAGGACGGATCGGCCGAGCCTGCAGTGGCTGGGACAGGCTTGCATTGCCCGCTGATGGGCGAGGGGGAAGAGAACTCTTAGGCCTCCGATTCTGTAAACTAGGGGGCAAAAAGCAGAGAAACCTGATTAAGCTGATGTCAGGGAGGTACCCTCTCGGGTATCGGGAAGAACATCCTCTTCAGTCCACCACTGCCTTTAGCCAGAGGCTTCATGAAATGAAGAGGAACCAGACCAAGGCTTCTCTTACGCCAGGAACGTAAGGCCTTCTATATGTTTTGGGACTCCAGTTCCCATGAGCCCTGGTCAGCCTGATCCATGCATGGAGAAATCATCCAAAACTAACTTCAAGATCACAATTCCCTTGACCCCTTCTCTAAATATGACCTAGCAGTTAGAGGGTTGGGCTAGAAACTCCGGGGACCCAACTTTCTGCTCAGCTGCTGAATTCACCTTCCCACCCCTTTAATCTCCATCTGACCTACCTCGCAGGCTTGTTGTGAGGCTTATGTGAGGAGATGGACAGCCTGAAGCTGATAAGAGGATAGATGTGATAAAAAAATGTGGCAAATCAATATTGTGTGTCTGTTGTGCTGTGCTGTGCTGTTAAGTCAGAAGTGGCTTATAGTGGGACCCTAACAAGGTTTCAAGGTTTTAAGGCATGGTTTTACCAGTTCCATACCCTCAATGAGTTTCCACAGCCAAGTGGTTGCAATCCATCACTCTATCCAAAACAGCACACTGGGAATCTCAAGTCAATATTAGTGCATAAATAGTAGCTCTCTTCCATCTGGGTTGCAATGTGCACATGATGGGACCCTGTCCTGCAAAATAAATATCTGCAGGTATAACAAAAATGTGTCAAGGAGGAGGCAAGGCTAAGAACTTTCTTCCTCCCGTGCTTGCTTTTCAGAGGCCCAGAATTTGGTTTTTCATGACCAAGTGCCACCACCTGCTGTCCAGAATGGGTAAACCTAGGCACAGGTTTATCCCCACGGCCACAATGGAATAAAGCAGTCTGATGGTCTCACTGGATGCTTGGGCCAAAGTGGATCCCCCCCCGGGAGGCAGATCCTCAGTGTCCCTTGAGTTTCACAGATTTAAGCTAAGACCCTGTACATATATTTATACAGAAGTTAGTCCCAGTGACTTCAGCAAGTCTTATTTCAAAATACAGTGGTGCCTCGCTAGACAGTTACCCCGCATGACAGTTTTTTCGCTAGACATTGACTTCTTGCGATCATTATAGCAATTCGCAAAACAGTGATTCCTATGGGGGAATTTCGCTGGACAATGTTTGGTCTCTGCTTTGCAAACCGATTTTCACTAGACGACGATTTGCTTTTCGCTAGACAATGATTTCGCTAAACAGTGATTTCAGTGGAACGGATTATCATTGTCTAGCGAGGCACCACTGTATACTGTTACATTTCTGAGAAGTTCTCCTGCAGAAGCCTGAACTGGAAATTTTAGTGGGCCCTGCATAAGGGCATTACTTAAGTCCCAATGGCGTAAAAGAACTTTCTAGTTGGTGAGGGAAGTTAACTTCCACTTTAAGCTTTTTTTAAACTTTCTAGTATATTTTGGCTAATATCAGAACCTCTCCCAATAAGCAGCTACCAAAGGATTTTAAAAAGTCAATAGAAAGAGTGGGACTTACTTCCCAGGTAAAAGAACTTGAGTGCCATGTAGCGAAGCTGAATTTTTTACTGTTTAATATATTTCCATTAAGGTTTGTTCCTTATCTCTATGAGAAAGTAGGGGGAAAGTAAGTTTTTCAAAAGTGATATTAAAACACTTATTATCCCTTCCAGGATTCTGATCCTAGAGTAACTTTATCTGTTCATTGAATTAATTATATTTCTGGCTAAGTATTTTTTTTTAGCTGATAAGATTATAGATGCCTCTTTTATTCAGGTAATTCTGAAAAGAGTGTAAATCTTTACATCTTCAATGTCAAAATACCACTCAAAGAAAATTATGTAATGTATTATCTACTCCACAGAGAATAAGATAGAGAGTATGTGTGGATCCAACATCAATACACATCACTCAGGATTCAGGAGTAATTCTCATGGATTTTCATGAAAGCTCAATGTACAGGACATATTTAGAATTAGCAGAAATATATGAATGTAAACATATTTTGGACTCATTAAAATCCAGATATTTAAATATGTTTCTACGGAGCTCCTAAACACATTTTCTGATTGACTTGAAAGTAAATCACATTCATTTTCAAATGACCTTCTAGGCACATTGGCTGTGGATCTCAACTTTTCCTACTATTTTAAAAATCTGTGTGAACCTAGTGGTTTTCTTCTAAATATTGCGAAAGAGAGCTAAAGAAAGCCCCAGAGTTTTTTCAGCATTCTCTGTTTGTTCTTTTCCTCGGCTGTTCCCTCACCAAAACTTCCAAGGTGAGGCTCTCTGAACTAACCCGGGTCCGTTTGGAATGAGAGGTCTCTGAAAATTCTCTCATTTTCTGCTTTAGTGCTGATACTGAGGAGAAGACCGCGCCACGGTGTTTGGCTCTTCAACCATCTATGTACCAGATTCCCAAGGTTCACATAATCACAGCAGAAGGAACAACAACCGAAGCCCTTCCTGCTCCGTGGAATTTGGAAGGATTCTCTAAGCTCCAGACCAAGCAACGTGACCAGTTAGTTAGAAATGGAAGTCCACATTGGCCCTGGCTTGGTACCACAGAAACCTAAGTCCAACTCTTGATGTCTTCCTCCACTACCAACCCATAGATTTTTCCATTCCTCCACGTGGAGCTAAGGACACTCACCATGCGGTCCTAACTACGGGTATTTATTCTGAACTCCTACTGAATAATGATAATAATTAAGAATTATATGTGGAATCACCTCTTCTACCATCATCCCTAACCCCATTTCAATCTGGAAGTGCATTCCGCCGAATGCAGCCTCAGTTTTATCTTCTCTCTTTCATAATATACCAGCAAAAGGGACTAGATCTCTAAAGTTCTGCAAACATGAGCAACAGTACTAGAGGGTCAAAAGATCTCAGATCTTCTCCCACAGAATAACACCAGATCTACCTGACAGGGCTGTTACTTAAGGCTTATAAATGTCGGGAATCGATTAGCAGATGTATGGGAAGAAGGGAAGGGACCATCATACGACTGCCGAAGGCAGTTTGTGACAGTTACAAAATTCAACTCCGCGTTGAATTCCGCGTTTTAAGGCCAGGAGCTCCCCGGGAATATGGACATATATATATTCAAAATGGTAGTTTCGATGTCCTCAGCCTTTAGTTTAACTATCTTGGAGGGTAAACGTGTCTGTCTCCGTTTAGATTTAAGAATGATAGGGCATCCTGAAGACTTATAAAACGGGGGGATTTCTAGAGGACTCTGCAATTTGTTCCTCTCTTGTTCGTGGTTTCTGCTGTGCTGACCTAAGAGAGCGAGCTGTTTGGAAAAATGTTTCCATTTCAGTTTGTGATTGCATACAGTCTGCAAATTCCAAACCCGACACCGCCAGGTCAAAACGACCGGGCGCTCACCAGACCGAAACTGACAAAGGCCGTCTCCATGCTGACCACTCTGCTAATTCGGTTGAATCCAGGATTGAAAAGGTCGAGCAATACCGGAAACCCACAGAATGCAAATCCAAGCACTCGGATCGTGAAAGCACGCGTTTCCTTTGAAAGAAAAAATATTCTCCTTCCCAAGTACCTTTTTTCCCCAAGGAAATTCCTTCTCTCGAAAAACAAATATTGCAAGACTTCCAAGTCATCAAACCAACAATGTTGTGGTAATTTTTTTTTTTTAAAGGCTACTGAGATTTCAATGCATACTGCCTTGAAATGATTTCCAGAAGACTCTGCCTCTACAAAATAATCGAGAGACCTGGTCATAATGGCCCAAGAGAGTCCCTTGAAGTCTTGGAGGCCTATCTCCCCTGATTTCTATTTACATCTGCGTCTGAGATTTTCTGGTATTGATCGTTACACCTTCTGGAAAATATTCTTGATTTGTAGGTAGGTCGTTTGCGGGGTGGTACCGTTTTGTTTTGTCTGTCCGTTGTACAGTCGCACCCAGATCGGAAGCGAAAGGGACAGAGAAGCGTCACCTTTAATTTTCCGATTGCCCTCCTTTCCCCCTTATCAGGCGGGGATTTATATAACCTCTCTTGAAAACAAGCAACGTTGACTCTCACCCACCCACGCACGGTCGAAGGCGCACTTCTATGCGGTAAATTCGGAAGGAGACGTTCCGGCTTGGTCAGCATGGAAAGGAATCCCATGCACTTATTCTCACCTCCGTGCGAACAGCCTCGCGGCCTTCGCCTCCGACCAACTGTGCGTATACTCGGGAGCAGGCAAGACGGAAGTCAGCTTCCTCGGACTTCACAAAACTCAGAAGCGTGTGACTTCTGCGGGCACCCCAGCGCGACAGGTCCCTTTTCAAGGGGTGAGAGTAAGAACTGGAGGCCAAGAAGGAAACGCCGGCGCTCACACAGGGCCGCTGAATGACTGGGAGGAAGAAGAAAAAAATCCGAACCCTTCGGCTTCACTGCCTTGGGGATCGACCTGCTGTCATCTTAGGTCTTGTGCAACGCAAGCTTCCTTCTTGCATCCGTCCTCCAAGGCCCAAAGCGGAGCGCGCCGTCAACTCAGCCTGTATTTCCCAGAGAAGGCCCGCCTGCGATGGATCACTCCTTTCCACAAAATCGACTGCTGGGATCCCGTCAATCTCCTACACCTACAGGAGATCTCGATCGCAGCCAAACTCAGTAAGACCCTCGCCGAGATCCTTCTCCCACCCATAACTTGCTAAAGAATCGTTAAGTGCAAGGGTGCTCCGGAGCTGGTGCAGAGTGCATTGCGTGCCCCCAATCATTCCCTATCCACGTGGACGGACGAAGCAGATCCAAACTGTGTTCTGCTTCTCCGGTCGCAGCAGGGTGGGCGAGTATCACCAAGGCGC